TCGTTGTTATGTTATTTTTTGTTTTTATTATCTGCCAACTGTTTGATTTTGATGTTGTCGCTTGTTTCTGTTTTCCTGATATATACGTCACCATCTCGAATCCATGTATATCTGATTTTCTTCTCTTTCTTTAGCTGTCTAGTAGCGTAAAATATTTTCCCTGTTAAAGTTGTTAGGTGTTCGTTTATGAATATATCGTTGTTCCTTCCTTTAATGTGACATTCTCTTGTTTGTAATGATCCAATTTCTTTTCGTGCTTTCAAAATATTAATTTTTGATTGCTTGTGGTTTAGTGTGATTATGATTGGGTTGTTCTCGTTATTTGCTTTTTTTCAGTAACAGTTTTGTTATTGAAATGTATTGTTTATATAAATAAAATAAAATATGTGTGTATTGTTTATATAAATAAAATATTTTTTTAATAAGAAAACATAAAACTTCATGGACAATTTAAATGACTAATTATAATTTTGTAAGCAATTTCAATAATTTCTAATTATACAATTATTATATTATATGGATCCATGTCTAGAATGATATCTAGAGATATTTATAATGTGTCTAATGATATCTAGTAATCTAAAGATATCGTGTGCCATACCTGCAGGCTAGCTTTTGGTTTAGTAAAAAACTCTAAATATAGAACTTGTGAAATAGAAGTAAACAAAAGACGATCAGAAAGTTAAGAAATATTTGAGGAGCAGACTTTCTAGATGAATTTCGTCCTTTTTTCGAATTTTGGCAAACAAAGAAAAACTGTCACGCTTTTTGCAAGAAACTCACCGAAAAAACTAGTATACTTGAAAAATGGATAAAAAAATTGGCGCCGGGAGGCACGTATAGCCGCCCATACTAAAATATGTTAATAAAAAGTTGATAGGCAGTTCTTTTAGTTTCAAAGTAAAGGAATTTTTCAATTTTTTTTTTATCTCAAAAATTGCGACTTGACTGATTTCGATGTTATTACAAATTTTGTTGCAAATATTATTCCTAATCTTAAATTGAAAACCGCGTTTCACTGGCTACGGTAATTTTGGAGCTACGATTTTTAAAATTTTTAACCCCCTCCCATACCCATTACCAACCCCCCACTCCCACCAAAAACTAATGGCCAGATTGTCGGGTGCAACAGTATTTTTGTGCCAAATTTGGTTAAAATCGGTTTGGTGGTTTTTGAGTTATCATGTTACAGACGGACAGACATACAGACAGACACCATGAAAATATTTTGTACTTAGGTCATTTATGACCCAAATAACTCATTTTGAGTGAAATTAAAAAACCTTTTTATTATCGATCTTAATAGCCTACCATACCTGTTGGTATGGTCGGCTAAAAATCATAAAAATAGTACACCTACATGTGAAAAATCTAGTTTTGATGATATCTTAAAAAACTGAACAAAAATGTTTTCTTTGTTGATTTTCTTGTTGATTTCTCTCTGTTTTTCTGCTACAACGGTCCGTATCCCCAACTACATGGTACATGGTCCCCAGTCGTAGTTCCATTCATTATTTAGTATGATTTAAAAAAATTGAGTAGAAGATGTAGTACAAAAAAACGCTTTATCTGGCAATGACAAACAAACAGCAGTATGTCCACAGCACTAAAGGACATACTACTTCTGTTTGTTTGTCTACCGCCAATGGACATAGAGTATAGAGTAGCACATAGGAAAACTAAGGTATTTTCGTCATTTAATTCAAATGGGATAAAATGTATTTTACACGTACGTATTTCTGGGCATCATATTGAAAATCTTAAAAAATGGATAAAACGCATTTAGTACGTCTGCTCCTCATTTATAACTTTACTTTTTTACTGGAACATTCTGTATTTTAAGTTTTTTTGGTAGATATTTTTCTTTCGATTTCAAATATATATAGTTTATCTATATTTGCGTGAATTATTTTGGTTTAATCCATGCCACCGTTCAGCAATAAAATTCCGATATCCGGGAAATCTTACCTAAATCAGGGATTTTTCCGGAAATCCCGGACGCCTAGATATTCCCAAATTTGCAAAAGATATGTATCGTTATATCCAAAGAAACTATAAATCAAATGTCATTCTTATCAAACCATGTTCCCGTAGATTACTTAAATACCTACAAATTTTCTAAAAAAATAAAAATTAACACATTTTTTGAACACAACAAAATAATATTAACTAAACAAAACTAGAAAACGTAATTTTTATTACAACACAGTAAATAAAAATTAATACGTAGCCAAGAGTCATGATTCAAGATTTCTCTGGGGGGTGCCCAGCAGTTCCTGAGGGGGGGAGCACCGCCGGGCACCCCTGTTGTTACGCCAATGTACTTTGGCTCCATTAAATAATTACGTTACAATAACATGGGAAAATACTTATCTATTGATGTTTTAAAGATCCCAAGCACACCAGAAACGATATTGCGAAAACTGGAGTTATTTCTAACGGCCCTATGGGTAAACAACTACATAAAAATCAGACAATAATAAACTGAATGATTTAAGATACAAATCATACATATATTCGTCGTATATATAACACAAACATACTTCACTACCTCCAATGCACAATACTCACTAAGAGTTTACCTTCAAGTGCATAAGTAATTATCCAATCCAATATTCAGGTTTCGTTTCCAAATAACATGGTGGAGATTATTATTGCTCGGTTGTGGCTCGGTACACTGCAAGTTTCCTATATTTAATAAAGAGTGTTTAGTAGTTGTGCATTTTGAAAGGGGCGATAATAATAGAAATTGATAGTTCACTAAATTATTAGAAAATGGATGAATATAATGTGTTTTAAAGATTTTATCATGATAATAATGTTTGACTTTAATTTTACTACAAAAACCTTTTATGGAAGTTTCGATTTCGGTTTGGGCTTCAAAAATCAGTTTTGGTCGGACAATAATTATTCATTCTTTCTTAAGTTGCCTACTATTTAAAATTAAATGTTTTTACACAGCAATTTTTTACTTCATTTATATAAATATATTTTAAAAAATACCTAATCTAAATATATTGCGTTAATACCGCAATCAACGCTGACTTATTTGCGGTTTAACATCTTTCGATTACTTTTATGATACGGTTTACTTAATTTATACACCAGAAAAAAGTAAAGAAATCATTTTAACGTAGACATTATACACTTTTTGTTGAACAGATTTTTCCGAAAATTTTTCTTAATTCTAGAAATAGAACAAATCCAAATCCAACTGCTTGGCATAGAGACGAATTAGATCAAAATATTAATTTAGCTTTGCGCCGCCTTATCTTGGGCTTGTCTATTATTTACTTACATTCAAGGTGAGTGCTTAACTCTTGTCCGCATTCAAATACCTAGACAAAAAATATTCGACATCTATTGCATATAAATAAATTAAATATAAACAAAAGATATTATCGTGGGCACTATAATAAAAAAGAAGAACGAAATTATTGGGCAAACCTTCAGTAAGATTAGCCATGAAGTCGTATTTTAGTCATGTTTCATGGCTAATCTTACTGTAGATTTACCCAATAATTTCGTTCTTCTTTTAAATTAAATATAGATATGTAACGACAAAGTGTTTACCATTAAACAGGAATTTATTTTAGGAGGGGACCAAATAAAAAGTAATATAGAATATGCTTTTTATGGCACCATTTTTAATCCAAAAGCGTAATATTTAACCCAATTTAGATATATTAGGGGGGGGGGGCATGGGGGCATACGTCATCTGTCTTGTTCGTTGCTTTCATAAACTCTTTAATCAACCCTAGTTTGATGGAAGGCAGGTAAATATTTTCCTAGGGGACCAAAGAATCACGGGCTAAATTTTTCCGACCGGGAGTAAAAATTTTTGAAAAATACACCACACACCTAGTCTCTGTATACATATAGCAAGAAGTTGCTTTATCAGCTGATAACTTTATTATCCACTTGATTAACTTGATTAATAGTTGCGTATCCACTGATAACTTTATTACCTACTCTAGTAGGTAATAAACTTATAAATCTTCCATTTCTAAATGGAAGCTGAAATATGTAAAAAAAAAATAAGTAAAAAAATGAGATAAGAAACGGAAAAATCGATCATGTTATCTCAGAAATAACAATGGGTAGAGACTAAAATAATCCTTTTTATCCCGCTAAGCTATCGAAAGGTAGTAAAAATAAATAAAGGGTCTCCCTCGAAAATGGAAGGTAATGGAGGAAAACGGAGGGCATATTTGGGTTCAGGAGGTCATTTTACATAAGATTCGGCAAGAATAGTGTCAAGGCCAACTGTCATGCAGACCAATGTTATCCGAATTTCGGACGTTCTGACTTGACAGCTATTCTCACAAAATTCATATACAAACTAAAATATATGGGAAACTGAAATTGAGATCTTTGAAAGGACGTTTTTACCGCAACCAGTTATACACAAATTTATTAGTTCTGTGACGAACCACCTGTCGCGCTTAAGGCGAAAATATTTAGGCAGTTCAAATCAAATCAAGTCAGTTCTAATCAAATAATATGGTACCGTCAAAAATAGAAAAAAGTTTTACTGGAATTTTAGTGATTATTTAAACTTTTTATTAAAAACAATGATGGAATCAGACCGTAAACCCTTTCATAAGTATGTTGTTCCGATGCCGGATTTGTTTTCCAAAAACATACATTCTAGAAGAACGATCCTACATTATTTCAAAAGTGATATCAAGTGCGAAACCTTAAAATGGAAAATACAACACAGCAAGATATTTATAAGATTTATAGAGTTTGTGATTTACATTTTTGGAATCAAGATCGTACCTGGAATAAAAAGAGGTTTAGAAGTTAATTCTAAAGTTTTTATATACACCAGTTCATATGGGTAAGTATATGCATTTAGTTAAATAAAGAACGTTTTCAGATATTTTGATCTAATAAAATTAAAATAATCTTTTAGATGATCAACCTACTGGTAATTTGGTGTCCAGTGATGTCGATCCAGGTACAAACCCTGTATTTAAAGACAAACATTTGTTGTAGAACTTGTTGGTGGACCAGTCTGTTGTTTGTATTAGACATGTACTGTTACCTGAGATAAAAGCAGTAACTGAAAAGGGTAGGTACCTACACCGTAGGCCAAATTAATGTCTCAAAATATTCAGTAATGAAGATGAACATTATTTTAAAAAAAAATATCATATCAACTTTATAACATGAGCTTAATTGAGCTGTAAATAAACAAGTTATGGCACTGGCTACTTTAATTTGGCAGAGAGTGATTCAATTATTAGATATTCCAAAGTTTATTAAAAATGTTAATATGTATTACGAATCCAAACTGAATTTGGTTTATTAAAATTATCGTTTTAGATTTTTTAAATTGTATCTATCATTTTAGAGAAAGGATCAGATAACCCAAATGAGGAATCTTCCAGAGTGCAGATGATGAAGTTTTTGTGAGTGAGGTATAAGATCTGTCTCTTGTAAGACCTGTTTTAAGAATTTAACCCAGGCAGTTGTTTACAACCAAGTTAGGTAAGAATTAAAAAATATAATAAGTGGAGCATAATACTCAAAAATGTAAATTTGCTTTATTAGCAATTGTTTTTGAATCCTGCTTATAAAAGGCATATAAACTCAATAATTATTTCTTATGAAAAATAATGCTTGTGTTAACTTAAAGACTAAGATAAAAAGTTCATAGCCAACTTCTGTTGAGATTTTAGAGCCCTTCGCAACGGCATCAACTTTTAATTTTTTCCTCCTACTCCTATAAACCATACTCGAGGTTTTTTTGATGTGTCACATAATTATACATATTTATTTGTTTCAGATCTCAAGCATAGCAAAGGAATCGTACAATCTGTGAATTCAGTTTAATTACTGAGATCAAGGATGATGAAACATTCATTATGATTATACAGAGCTACAAAGAGTTATGTCGAGAATCCAAATTATCATAATGAATTGAGACGAGACAACATCTGGGTGAAAATTGAGGAAAAACGCAGATAAAAGGCATTTTTATATTAACGTTATCCAATGTTTTTATCAAATCGTCACATAGATAATATTTCTCTACGCATAATACTAAAATTAAAAAGGTCAGGTTAAAACAATTTTAATTATCCATCGCGTGTGAAAAACAGTGCTTCGCATGGCTTCGGCTTCGGCGCGCTTCGCTCAAGTGCTCAACATGCTTTAAATTTTTGCGAAGCGCCAAAATGTCATTGGATTAATTACATGTATTTTGATTCTTCGCGTTACTTCGCTTTAATCCGTGGGTCTGCATTTTTATACATAGATACCATTGATCCAATTCACATTTTTTCGCCGCGCTTCGAATAAGTTCGCGACAAAACTTTGGCAGTTGTATTTTATATTATTTAATGCTATTGTATTGATTTATAATTATTATTATATTTATATGAACAAGTTAAGTATAGCAGTGCCGTGCGAGCCTTCGTCTGAAGAAGAAATTTTATTTATTGTATAATTTGTATTATTTACTTTTTTTAATAAAGTTATTACTAATAATAATTATTCAACATATCCAGTTAATTATTTTTATTTTATTAACTATAGCTGTTTTTTCAATCTATTTCATATTTTTTGATGAGGATAAGTTAATTCTAAATGAAACGTCACCTGTTTGAGAACAATACGATATAATGGAGCGATGTCGCATTTAGAATAACTTATTCTTATAAAAAAATAGGAAATAGAAGAAAAATCATTATTTTCTGTACAAAAAAAATAAATTACGTTCCAAAAATTGATAATAGATGGCGCTAGAGTATGACGCAACAATATAATTACCTGTAGTTAAAATGTAAAAGTTTCCTGTAAAATAAAATAAAACTGTATCATAAGTTGTGTAACGACCCGATGCATGGCGCCACTGAATTCTCCAACAGACGGTATCATTTCAGTTTCCTATATATTTTAGTTTGTATATGACAAAATTAACCAATAATTTTATAGGAAATATTTGGATATACAATTACGCTAAATTTTAACTTAAAATTTAGAATGTGAGTATTTGTAGTAAACTTGAAATCAGCCGGCCCCGTGAATACTGGGCTTGATTCGCAAATACAAACAGATGCAAAAAGTTGTAAACAAATAAAAAAAGTTGTTACCGTATACCGGATATTTTTTCAGATAAAAATAACTTAATTTGGTATGTTAGTATATATGACATAGATTAGGATTAATTGACGTATTCAATTAATTGTTTTCAATCACTTCCTATTCCACCCGAAATGACTACAACTTTTGATTTTTAAATGGGCACCAATGGTATATTTCTACTTTATTCTATAGAATATGACACTGTGAATAGAATGAATTATCATATGTCAACTTTTGACATTTTCGCATATGGTTTATTTGAAATTGTAACATGCGGTTCATAACGACAGTTTGACTCGAAATACCAAGTGTGTGGTACCAAATTATTCGTAAAAAAATACTTTTTCCAAATAGGCTTATGAGCCACCCTCGTTTCATTTGAAAAAATATGGGATATTATTAAATATACGATTTAGGCATCTTTTAACCGGCCATAACTAGACAGCAAAAACATTAGACGATAAAATCTATTTTTCCAAGGCTCCTTGATTAAAAATTAGCGTTTTTAACACAGTCATGGCACTCTAGATTGAAATTTAAAATACAATTTTTTTCACTGAGAATGTCAAAAGTTCACATATGATATGTCATTCTACTCAGAGGGTCATTTTCAAATGAAGTAATAAAGAAATACATGAATAAAGAAGAAATACACCGAGGGTGCCATTTAAAAATCAAAAGTTGTAGTCATTTCCGGTGAAACAGGAAGTGACCAAAAATAATTGAATACGTCAATCAATCCAATTTTATGGCATATACTAACATACCAAATTTCGCTTTTTATCTAATGCACCGGTATGCACCGAGGTATGCACTATTCAGCCATTTATGATATTTAAATTGTTTTTATAGGAAAAACATTTTTTTTCAGATCGGTGGTGGTATATGGGGAGGTATAATAGCTATGATTACAGGAGTAGCAGGAGCCCTAGCAGCAGCGAAAAATATGTGTCCATTCAAGTCAACGGCTGAGAAAATTGCACAAACAACTTTCCTAGCTCTAAGCTTAATAAGCGTAGCTGTAAGTCAGTTAATTGTAGTTATAGCAGCTACTGGTTTAGCTAGAGACGTTAACAGTAGAAATTTTCAAGAGGCCATGGAGAAGACAGATGTAAGTTTATTTTTTATTCCTTGCTAATTTAGTAAATGTATATTCCTTAAAAAATCATTACATACTAATGTACTACACTCACAAGCACTTTAAGCAGATGAAGCTTAAAGTGATATATATTTTTTTTAATTTTAGCCCTATTTTCATGATTTTTTAGCTACCTGTATATAAATCTATCAACTTTAATTCACAAACTCGGGTATATATTATACGGGGTTAATTAAAGGGTTGTTTTTTATCCTAACTTTAAAACACCCTGCGCAATAATTTCGTAAGTAACTAACATTATTTTTCTGCCAGAACCATGTTTCCTGAGCATTTTATTTTTTTACTCATATCAACACATGCCTTGGTTAATTTTTAAGAGCGAAATGAACTTGCCACCAACAATTTGCAATTTTTTCAGCTATCATTACTTTATGATGCTATTTTTTAATATCACGAGGTGGCTTTGGTAGCTATTTCCCTATTTCTAATGTCATATCGACACTGATTAGAACTCTATATCAAAATTTTAAAAACGTTAAAATGTAACGATACAGGCTTGGTTTTAATAAATATTAGTAACACTAAAAGAACTAAGAATATTTAAAAAAATAACTGGAATAACTAAGTGCACAAACAAACAAAAAACTTATAAAAATACTTTGTATTGCCTCCCCCGGCTGCTATAACTGTCTGTAGACGGCGGTTCATAATGTTAATGAGGCTTCAAATATATTGTCTTATGTTTTCCCATTCTTCAAGAGCCAAGCGAATTTCGGCCATCGTCAACAAGATCAATGACTTTTACACAATCTTCGACGACACTAGAAACCATATTCAATCTTACCCAACAATAATCACCACAGCCACCTCGTCATTATGAAGAATAACATCAAAAAGTAACAATAATTGAAAGAATTACAAAATGTTTGTGGCAAGTTCATCAAGGCAAGTGTTGACATGAGTCAAAACACAAAATATTCAGGAGACATGGTTCTGAGCGAAAAATATGTTTTAGGAAAATTTGCTCACGAAATCATTGCACAAGGTGTTTTAAAGATAGGGTAAAAAACAACTCTTCGATTAACACTGTATAATAAGTTAAACAGAGCCCTAACAACTATATGTTGGGACAAGGTCTTTTTTTTGCAATAATAATAGTGATTTATTAAAACGACTCAATTTATTTTGTTTATTATTCTAAATTCAAACATTACAATATGATCTAGACAATTTTACTATATTTTTATAACTTCAAACAAATCACTTTTGATAATAGCTTATTTTGCCAAAATCAAGCCAAATTTGCTGACAATTATATATTGGGACAGCACAACAAGAAATTTGTTTAATACGTAGTTACATCACCTTTCGCCTTAACAACTGCCTGAACTCTTAATGGCATTGTATTTACCAAAGATTGGCACATTTGAGGAGAAAAATTATCCCAAATTTCCTGCAGTTTTGTCTGTAAATCAAAAATTGTTCGTTGAGGGTGGTTTCTTAAATATTGCTTCATTTTATGCCACACAGTTTCTATAACATTGAGGTCCGGACTACTGGCAGGATGGGATAGAACTTTTATATTATTATTACCGAACCAATTTTTAGTTTATTTTGCTGAATGGCACGATGCTCCATCTTGTTGGAAAATATAGTCTTCCTTTGGAAACAATTCTTGAGTACTAGGCAAAAGTGGTCAAGTATGTTGAGTGGTCTCAAGAATATGTTGATATTTTTGGGCGTTAACAGTGCCATCTATAAAATTTAATTTGCCCAACCCTCTTGCTGACATGAGCCCCAAACCATAATTCCCTTAGGAAATTTAACAACCCTCTTTAAGCAATAGGAAATTTAACAACCCTCTTTATGAAAGGCTTCTGCTTTATTTCATATTATTCGTTTTCGATGATCTCCAACGCAAACATCAAAATTTAGACTCATCACTCATCGCTAAATATGACCTTACTCCAATCATTTTGTGTCCACCATAATTTAGATTTGGCCCAATTGTAGGGATTTTTCTTTTGAATTTCTGTCAGTAGCGGTTTTTCTTTGGCCTAAATAAGAATTTGTATCAATAATCTTCAGGTAATTGATTATCCACACAAAATAAAGTTTACCTTAGTAAAACCCCAGACCGCATTTATGGATATAGTTTCGGCTACGTTCTCTTGATATATTTAAACCAGTTACAGTATTCCATTTAACTGTTACTTCGCGAAGAGTACTTCTCGCAGACTTACAAATTTTTACTAAATTTCGTAAATTTCTCTGAGATACAACTTTTGGCCTTCCCAAATTTATACCTCTAACGTCTACATTGGCAGATTCGCCGTATTTTTTTATTATATTAAAGACCGTGGTTTTTGGAATACTTAAATCATCAGAAATTTTTCGAATTGTTTTTCCCCTACTGTATTGACGAATGATAATTTCGTGTAATTTTTTATTTGTAGCTTTTCCAAGGACTATTACTTTGGATTAAATTAACAAAATTGAAAATTAAAAAAATTAAAATTACTTACAGTAAATCTCACTACTCAAAGTATCGAGTCACTTACAAGCTGTCAATGCTGAAGTAAACAGTTTGTTACATTTGTGACGTTTATAGCAAAGCCGCCTGTGATGATGTCAGCAAATGTGTCCTTTTATGAACAAAATCTGCTACTGTAAATATGGATTGATTTACAAATTCATAAAAATATTGTCAACTTGTTTGGGATATATGGCTATGTTTATATTTTAAAAACCAGGGCAATAATTCCAAAATATGACCTTGTCCCAACATATAAGTTGTTAGGGCTCGTACTAAAGTTTATAATAAACTGAGTTTACAAATTAAAGTTGATATATTTATATGCAGTTTGCTAAAAAAATCAAGGAAATAGTGCTAAAAATAAAAAAAAAATATAACATTTTGTATATTATTAACTTGACCAAAATTTTTTCCGTTGCGTTTTTTTGAATCTGAGTTTGTATATCTACTATTACCTATTTATTAAATACATTAATTTTGTCAAATATAATTTATTATTTGATGTGTATGCAGTGAAGGAAATAAGCGGATTCGTATAATTGGTAAGAAAATCTGAGAATTTTAGTCGAAGGGGTTCCTTCTGAACCTGGGATAGCCCTGCGCGACGGTGTGAAAATATTTTTAAAACGATCAATCGATGTGTCAAATCATTGACCATTAAAAAAATAAATGATACTAATATTTTCAGTAAAATTTCAATTACTTCAAGTACTTTAAGACCATAACGTAATAACATAAAAATAAAATCATAGTATAGACTGCAAAGTATCCAATTAAGTATATCGAAAAAAATATGTTCTTCAAAAGTTTAAAAAAATGTTGTTAAGAATGATGTATGTCTCATTTAAATCTAAAGCCGAAACATATTACATATATTATTATAATTATTATTAATATTGTGTAAATCCATTTTTAACGCAATAGTTTCCTCTCCCTATAAGTAATGCATACTCTCAATAAAATAAGTAAATTTCTACGATACAATTTTTTTAATATTTTTAGTTAAACCATGAATCACAACTTATTCTTTCGTCGAGCTGTATACACTTCATTTAATTATAAAAGTGAAAATTTAATATTATGTGTAAGTAATAATATGTATGTCAAGCTCTCTTAATACCTAGATATTCCTGCAAATAAATGAAATGTAAAGAAAACTAAAGGTTTCACTACAATGACTGACCGTTTTAAATAAAAAGTACGTTTCTTGCCAATCCACTTAAATTAGTTTTAATATTAATTGAAGATTTACTTTCTCTACAAGGATAGTACCGTATAAATGAAATTTTAGTACAATGAATGACCATATGGTTCTCATTAAACAAGCAGAACAATTTTTGTTATTATAACAAAATGGAATATTAAAAATTAAATAGGTTTAAAAATAGAAATCATATGAAACAAACTAACGAGAGGCTAATTAATGATAGAAATAGTAACATTATTACATTTCCCTTTTACTTATAATTTACTTATAAAATTAAGAGAGGAAAATTACACTATTTAACGACAATACACCAAAAAAACGAAAAAAATAAGTTTTTATCGGTTATTATAATATCTTATTATACCAGTCAACGTGTAAAAAAATTCAATCCAAATTGCATTTTCGACATTTCCTAACAAGATCTGCTAAAGTTTCCAGGTTCACTGAAATAAATTGCAATAATTATAATTTATTCGTGTAGGGGTTATCATAAGCTTTGTTCTATTTTGAGTTTTTTTTTGAAAGTTTTGATTTTGATTAAAGTTTAACTTATCTAGTTTTAGCAGATTTATCTGGAGAGTACGTAGAATATAGAATGTAGAATGATTAAGAGGGGGGGGGGGTGTTAACCACCGCGCCTTTTAAGATATAGTGTGTCCCTCTTTCTTGAGTTAGAGCTCATTATACAGTCTATAACTCATCATACATGGGGATCCTGTTATAGGTATGGGGGACAGGGTACTTTCCATCCTCCTCTGACAACAGATGTTCATCCTCCGAGAAGTGGACATCTACCTCCTACGAGGGTATACACCCTTCCACGGTTGTAGAATGTAGAATGAGTAACAGGGGGGGTTAATCACTGCGACCTTAAAGATCTATTGTGCCCCCCTTCCTTGAGTCATCACACAGTCTATTACCCATCATACCCCTGTTGTAGAGGGGACAGGGTATTTCTCATCCTCCTCTGACAACAGTTCTTCCTCCGAGGGTACACACCCTTCCACGGTTGGAGTTTAGCCCTCCGTGCCGCCCTTCACAGTCGAGGAGCTTGCCTCCGGCTGAGGAACCTATGGGGTAGAGGCTGGAGGATCTGTCTCCATTTTCTCCACCTCTTTAACTTAGTCTCTCCTTAGACCTGATACCAGTGTGGTCCCGTATCTCTAATAGAGAATATGTCCCTCTTTCTCTATTGCCTTCTTGGATTTGAGGTCAATTTCTATTGTGAGTACCTGACCATGACCCTCCTCCCTCGAGTTGATGACTCGC